AAAATATTGAAACACTTCTACCTAGTTCGTACAACACCTCTTTTCCTTTCTTCTTAAATTTGTGTCAGGTCCTCACAAATCGTCGGCGTTACTTCATCTCCTCAGTTAGCACAATATGTACAACCGCAACTCGCATCATCTGCCTTCCACTAGCTATGTCGGGAAGTGAGGTATAACCTCACTTAATTTCATGCGCCATTTTCCTCACCCCGTCACCAAACACGGCAACAAATAGTCCTAATGTAAAACGGTCGGCAATATCTTGCCAGAAAGATCTTGCTCCGATCTTGCCTCTCCTTGCTCTTGCTAGTGTAAAGATGATCGCAAGAAGCAGAAACAAATTGCAGAAAGATATTGCGGAAACGCATTGCTAATATAAGGCCAGCATTAGCGACCTCTGCGATTCAGGCCGGCGATTTATTGTTTGTTTGTAGACAATTGTAATAATTATTATTCAGCGCATCACTCGTCATATATGTGTTCAATTTTGCCTTTAGGCGATTATCTATTCAATAAAATAATCAAAATAAATGTATAATAAAATTAAAGTTATTTATATAACAATTTAAGTAGAGCTTTATAAACGATGGAGAACATTTGAGCACTTTAATCACTTTTCAAAAGAAAATATATTTTTTCTGTATTTTACTTTTATTTGATCTTCGTAATTGAAAAACCATTTATTAATAACAATAATATTTGAATATTTCATTTTGAAACATTTTTTTCAATTTTATTTAAAAATAATCCTACTTTCATATTTCATTGTATCTTAGTAAATTTGTTTGCCTTTAATTTTAAATTGTTAATGTTATTACCACTTTTCATATATTTCGTAATTGTTTATGTATTTTGAAGCTTTGAAAATCTTCGACACACAATCGAAAATTAAGCATGAAAATTTACACAAAATGATAAATAAACTGTAGTGGTCCCTGCAATTCAGGAAGATTAAACGTTTGAAATGATTTGATGTGCATTCGCTTTCTAATTTCGTTTCGACCCTTTGCATTGCACTATTTACTAGATTTTGTAACCGGTATCAAAAAGTGATTTCCTCACAATCTCCAAACAAAGGGTCGTCGTACTGTAGCGTTTACCCAGCGTATGACAGGGAGCCTTTCGTAAATGTTATTGAACTCGTCTGAAACCTGCGTTTTGTATGTCTGTTCGCCGAAACGTGTTGTGCATGGCCACTGGTGCCACGTGCCTCCCAGTATTGGATTCGGATTTGGTAACCGTGGGTCGGGGTTGCGACATCCAGGGTCCATTGTGCCAAGTTCGTGTACTGCGTGTCTATTTACCAGGGTGGCTGTGGAATGGGAGAGGAGGCGGGGATAGACCTGTATAGTCGCACTTGCATACTATCACAGTAGCACCTGGCGTTACACAATTTGCTGCTATCGCGTCAACGCAGGAATGTGTGATTCATACTCTGAGCACGTGCAAAATGTATGGTGCAAATGGGCAAGCAGAATCTACGTGTAGCTGGTTGGAGCCAAGGAATTAGCCGTTCCGACAGAGATATAGCCTCAGTTCTTCTCTTTATTTTACAATGTTTTAAAGAAGTTTTAAATTTGATTTGCACACAGAAGCATCTTCTCAAATACTCCGCAATAATTCATACAGTGCATGAATGTCTGTGTTCCGTCTCATTGAGAACGAATACACTACAATTGTCTTAGGCAGGTGCTTTTGACAGAAGGCTTTCTGATCCGCTCATTAAGGTGACATTTTCTGCGGTATTTCAACATTTTATTTTCATTTAAATGTAACAGTCTGAATAACTCATGTTCAAATGTCAGATGAACAAGTGTAGAATATGCGAATCATCATATTTTAAAAAAACGGAACAGCGAGCTGCAATTCGTACAGAAAAAATAAATCGAAGCATTAGATAAAATTTCAAAGAAGGCCGAAAATTTGTAAATAAGGGACGTGTAATTGATGGTGGAGAAAAAACGGAATGAAGAGCGATGAAAAGGGAAAGACGCGTCTGAGTTTGGTGTACAAGGCAAAGGGGACGCAGCGTGAGCTGGTGTCAGTAATACACTACAGAAACAGGCTGACTAAAGTGTTGGAAAATACGAATTAGAAAGCCAAGGACTCTTAGAGGAAGTTCTCCTTTGAGATTCGCAATGAAAATCTAATAGTAATAGTAATAATAATAATAATAATAGTAATAATAGTAATAATAGTAATAATAATAATAATAATAATAATAATAATAATAATAATAATAATAATAATAATAATAATAATAAGTTTATTATTTGATTTTTTTCGCGATTCGGTCATAATGGTTCCCGCGATGCATGCATCCCACCGGGACTCAGATTTGTTTATCAGGGTAGATGCACGTTACTTTTCTATAGAGGAGAATCAGTATTTCAATGCCGATTCCATTTTTATACCCCAGGGTTGTTAGGCTGGGAAATGGGTTGAAATTACGATGATGAATGACGAAATAGACACACACAAACATACAGAGACACACAACTGCCCGAAGCGGGACTCGAATCCGCGACTTCTGGTCAGCGACTACTACGGCTCTACTTCTTTAGCGATTATTATTATTATTATTATTATTATTATATAATTTGCATGTTAGCTATATTATTTTATTTATGTAATTAGCTCCCGACAGGTTATGCCTATTTTCAGTTTAAATAAATTTATATTATCTTATAACAGACTTAGAGAGTATATACGAGTGTAAAAAATAACAAAGAAATTCATTGTATTTCCACCGTGGATCTTTGGGATGTGAAATGTGAACGCATTTACGTTTCTCATCTCAAGAGCTATTTTGATCTCTTTTCAGTGAAAGATATTTTCGGCTTTTCCGAGTGCGGTGAAGAAAGTGGTAACAAACTCTCCAAATTAATTAACACCTTGCCGGAAATAAAAGAACGCTGTCGCATTATTATTAACGCATCGCTACGTTTACGAATTTAGAGCAACCCGAAGTTTCATCACTTCTCGCTTTGTGACTTACTGACTTTTCCTATGCAAATAATTCTTCGTATTCTTTTGACGTCAGAGATAATTAAATTAAATTTATAATTTGTGCCAAGCATTGCTTAATTTGTATTACAATTTTATTTCATGTTTTATACGTGGGTAACCTCTCTATTGTTGTATTCGTATAATGGATTTCTTGCGAGACGCAATGGTCTTAAACTTCGCCAAGCTTGCAAAAAATATACCAACGGCAGTTGATTTTCATTTTTAACGGATACATTAGAGGATACGAAAATTTTAAATGCATAGTTAATGAATGTGTATTATAATATTATTTTTAGTATCATAAGCAATTAAAAAAATATGAGAGGCAAATAGACGATTTACTAGAACTCTCTATTATTTTCCACGTAAGATTTATAAAATTAATTAGACATCTCCTTACTTCAAATTAATGACAAAGTTTAAGTGAAAAATATAAAGATCAAATACTTAGTTTTATTCTTATATTGATACTAAATTACTGAGCTGTATTAACTGTATTACCTCACCAATACATTTTGTTTTTTCGGCATTACGAAGTATTGGTAACAAACCCCTTGTAAAAAAAGGAAATAAAAGCTGTTGCTAAATGTAGAAAAAAAATCCTCCAACACGTGGAGTGCCAGAATCCATGTTTTGTGCATCCTAACCGGAAAATCGATATACGACGATCTGTGTCTCCGTCTGTCCGTGTGAAGTCAACACTAACGTCTAAACCATTCAGCCGATTTTCTTCAAAATTAATATTCCTCGATCGATCTGATTGAACTAGTTGTTTTGGGAGTTCCAAACTTATATTTTTATTTTTGACGCTACTTAACATACCAAGCCCCAAAAAAGTTTCAAAATTTTGTATCAAAATTGGCACTAATTTTTTGATCAAACGTTATCTTCGGATAACGGAAAGAACGCGTAAGACAATGGTGTATGTCTCATGTTCATTGAAATCTCAGATTTGTTTGATAATTGCAAGGGTGCTATTTTTGGGCCGTTTCCTACAACTGTAATATTGAAGATCGAGATTTTTCCTTAATGAAATATGTTTTTAAAGACGAATTTTTAAATAAGTTCCTATTGTTTTTCAAAAATATGAGTAGTTTTTGTGTAATTTGGCGCAAAATGTAGGATATTTAAACACCCTTTTCACATTCTTTTCAAAAACCGCTCGAAATTTTTTTAAAAAAATTTTTGGCCCCCAGTCAGTGTGGGAAAAATTACTGATTTGCAGAAAATACATAACATTCCAAGCTCTGTGAAGGATTGCTGGAATCACGTGAGTGGCATTTATTATTCGTTCTATTTTTTCTACGATATTTAAGTGTGGGTATTATGGGATGTGGTTTCCCAGAATATATTGCCATATAGGATCGGGAATATACGTTTTTATTTGACAGATTGGGATCATTTTCAAGAATTTGAAAATTTATAAAAAATATAGAGTGTGTAGTTAATTGTACCTTTTTTCTTTATGCAAGTATATTTTTTCGCATACGAGATTTTGTTTATAAAAAAATAACAAAGCCAATTTCTCAATAATTGTAATTTTCATATTAAAAATTAAACACTACACTAGTTGTAATGTTCCAGCTTTTTTGTGTTGTACAAGAGAAAATGGCTATGCAGAATTCTATGCAATTTACCAAATAAACACAAAATGTTTTAGTACTTTCTATCTGTCAAAGAATTTTTGAATCCTCGATTCTGAACAATAATATCATCTCTGTGTTAAGATACAGAACGAATAATCATTAATATTAAGCCGGGGATGGAGAACGTCGAAGTATGTAATTTTATTCAGAAAATTAATGTAATAATTTTCAAAAAATATGCATTATATTGAAGTTAAAATGCTTTACAGGTGTTATGAAAAAGTGTACAACTAGGTTAAAAACGCTTTCGAAAAAAGGAGTTAAAAAGAACTCCTTCGAATATAGTAGAGTACGTCTGGTAACCATATATCTGTAATATCTATATTTTTGTTTCAGGTAAGGCGAAACAAATTCCGGGCTTCACTGTATGTAAGTAGGAAAAAATCAAGTAGTATGTACTCGTCGGATCTGAGTTACTGTGTCATCTCAATTTTTATTATTATTTATATTATATAGTCATTTATTATTATTATTATTATTATTATTATTATTATTATTATTATTATTATTATTATTATTATAATTAATGTAGTGCTTTCAAAAATAATAAAACAGATTTATAGTGAATTATAAATATAATGACCAACAAAAAAAAGAAGCAGCATCGGAAGAATATATATTTTGAAGAATTATATTTGAATTTCTTGTACTGAACTGCTTATAATGAGACCTAGTGTATATGATTCGAAGGACATGTGTTGTAATTAAAAATATTCGTAATTCTTGACATGTTCTTACTCTTACGTATGTAAATTGTGACCAAAACTACAGATTCGTGCATAAATTGGCAAGGCAATGACGGGTATCTAAGCTCAGTGAAGAGATGTTTGTGAAGGGTAGCACTCACGCTAGCAACAACTGGCGGAACTTCTGAGAATTAGATCTGAAGAGGATTATCCACTTTAAACAGTTTTAATCTTGCTGAATATTCCCAGAGTTACAAGGGTATTATCATATTTGAAAGTTCGCGTATTAAAACTTCACTAAGCGTAGAGAATTTTTCTTACCATGCAGATTCCTGTTTAATGGGCACTTGTAGAAGTAAAATCAGTATTAAGGAAATTTATGTTATGTAATAAAATCATTCAACTCTATTGTGATTATGAAATATTGACGATTCATTTTGTTACTTTGTTTGATTTTTCTGCTCAACACACATTTTCTTGCCAAACAAGTTAGTCATTTTAGAACACGTTTGATGCTCAGATTCCAAATACATTGATGGTTTTGGTAGATTGGTTCTAGTTTTTGAGATAATGAAAATCATATCGAATAAAAATAGTATTTTGTTTTATTGAGTAAGGCTTTCCTTAAATTGCTTAAAACTTGAACTAAATGAAACTAGATATGTCTATTTATAGAAAATCAAACTCGTGAAATACGTACTATTAATATATTCAATATGTTTATATTTACAGCCCTAAGCGAAAAACAATTAATTGTTTTAAAATACACTGAATGGTTTTCTTTTATGTCAAAAGTCAGGAAAATCACGTTGAAAGATCTAGCAGTAGTCTGCCATCATGTGTCTATCTTCCATCACTTATTTCTTGATGGAACCGCTCGTCTTGAACCTCACTCACAATGCCAATATTTTCCGGGCAATTTTCTAGATGGCTATGAAGAGAGAGTACCTTAATGATCATAGTTGCACGCAAATTTTGAAAGTTTAAAAACAAGTATTGCACCAGCCCTGCAAAATTAGCTGCTGTATGATTACCTCAAAAGGTCTTGACAACAATGACAAAGCTATGCCAAGCAGAAGATTCAGTATCAGTCATGGAACGTGCGAAATTTGGATAATTCATCAACTTCCGAATTCGGGGTCCAGGAAAAAATCTGCTAATGTTTTTGAAGCCATCGTTATCCTTGTGTAGCGTATGTATGTTCTGGGGAGGAAGAATGATGAATGATGTACTGGGGAGGGAAATATTTTATTTGACATCTAGTTGGTCGTTCACGATATTTTCTGCACATTTTGTGATATTTTGTTTTGGAGGGCATGTCACTTTTTTCCAGTGCTGCTCCATTGCTCGACTATCCCACAAGTAGAGAAATCATGGGTAGTTTGTGAATCAAGTTTGTTGTCCTAGTAAAAAGTTGACCATTTTGAAATCTTCGCATATAGACCATTGGTGGTCATGGTAGGAATGCTTTTGTAAAACCATTTAGATATTGTAACGTACGAGCAAACGAATCTCGTGGCAGCTATTTGGGGACGCGTGGTAAGGGATTAGTAACAGGAAATCGCCTAGCCACAGGAGGGAGAGAAGGGTTTTTCCTAAAAGCCAGCCCGCGACAAAGGGGGACACGAGGCTTTGGGGTCCTCCGGTCTTAAGGAACAGAGACCCAAACCTCAGAGCAAGCAGTGCGCTGCGAAGGCGGCGTGACGTAGTAGGTCACGTGAGCCTCGAGTATATAAGCGAGTGCACAGAGCCAGTGGGTGGGTTCTAGAGACAGTGGGAAAACCTTGTGCAGTTGCACAAAAACTTGCCGCCACAACGCAGCGAGCAGGGCTCGCGAGACAAGTCACGTACTGATGAGCCTGTGGAGGACTTTGTGTCCTTGGGAGGCTGCGATCACTTGGGATCTATGCTGTGTGCGTGCTCCGAGGTGAGAAGTGGGTGACTACCACGACTCGAGCCGATTCTCAATCGGGTAAGATCGCTCCTGCAATCAAGGCAAACCATCAGTTGGTACGCCGGTACGGACTTTGTGTCCCAGTGTGACATCCGGTCACGGAAGCTTGGCTTTGTGCGCGCTTCAGAAGTAGGAGTGGCGAGTGCCACAATTGAAACCGATCATCAATCGGGTTGAGATCGCTCCCGCGATCTGGGGATAGCAGGTCTATCAGATCTAGGATGCAAAGTGTAAATTCATTGTAAATATTTGTTGTGTTTTCCTTGTAAATAAATATTTGTTATATGGAAGCTGTGTCTTTGTTCGCTGTATCCATGACGTCACAATATTATCATATTCTTGTTTATTTTTGGTTGAGAGACAAATCGGTATTGATAGATAGCAGTTGCCATTGTTCAGTAAAACACACTTTAAACTTTGAATGCCACTGTCTGTCAATAGCCACCAGCCTTCGGCTTGATATTCTGCAACACTCATATTAACAAGTAATTCAGGAATGTTAGAGGAGTTCACGAAGTCTCTATTTTCACTGAAGTATAGTAGGAGGATTGCCTTTCTTGTCCTGTAAAGTGCTCTTTTTGCTTCTGGTGTCAGGTATTTCTTTACTTTTAGTCTGGATGCTAAGTACTTGTTTTGGCAAAGTGAGCCATTCTTGGGGGAATTGCTCCTTTGTTGCAACACTGCTAACAGTGGCAGTGAGCCACTGCTAACTCCTGAATTACACCCCAGAATTTATCCTTATCCTTACTATTGGACACTGGAATTCCAGAGAATGTTGTGAAACCTGTTGTGAAACATCAGGTCCACGTAGCACAAGTCGCCTTGCTGATTCAAAGTAATGTTTCTGTCAGTTCTTTTTCTTGTAAGGGTTGAACCCTTAAATAACAATCATAATGAAAAATAACAATCATCATGATGATATTTGGGCTCTCGCTATACCTATGATATACCAAATTTTTCTCTCTTCAAGTTTCCAGTTTCGCACTGACGGGACGCCACACAAATTTTGAATACCATATAGAGAGCCCCTGATTTATCTTGATCAATCAGTTTTATGCCAAAATATGCTTAATATGTTTTTTCTATAAAAATTGTAATACTTCTTATCTGTTCTGGTTGCGTATATTCCCCACAAATATACCAAAATGCATTAGGGTCGTTCAAACAACGTCTTCCAGAAGAACACATTGTTTTGTAACAAAAGAAGGTGTATTCATAAGAGGAAGCTCAATCAAAGTAATCTGAAATTAATGCGGTATTCAATGTTTAAAAAGAAAAAAATAGTCTTTATATAAAGACAGATTGTTGCGTTAAATGCTTTGAGTTGTGTGATAGCATCATTCATTGCAACGTTCGTACCATACAGACTAGAGCCAATTCAATGAAACTAATGGCTTATTTGTATTCAACGTACACGATTTACTGCAAAGTCGAAAAATCCTGCGCAGGTGAAAAACGTTTTTTTTGTTGAGTAGTTTGTGTAGTAGTGAGATATTTTCATTTGATTTTCAAGAGATGACGCAAAAAGATTGATTTTCTTGGCAAATTACACGAAAAAGAGCGATTTTGGAATTTAATGCATTGTCTTAATTTTGGAATTACAGTGAATACATACACAGAAAACTGTAAAATCAAAAAAAGTAATAGAATAAATTATAATTGACAAAACCACAACTAGATATGTAATAATAACAACGAATTATACACGTTACAGTGACAATGATGAACAAATTGTTAGTAGCGAAAACACTAACTCATTAAGTAATACACGCATGTGTAAATTATTTACTAAAGCTAAAATATAATTATTTACGGACTACTTGCTGCAGAAATGACGGGTCTCTGTTTATTATGCAGTCGACCTACACGACAAATATCATTTATTTTTTTGCAAAGAATTCATTCACTTTAATACTTTACTCTTCCTCTTAAAAAGAGAAAATTAAACTTTTCTGGAAAAAGTAAAAATTTTATATCACAAGAAACTAGAAAATCGTATGAAATAAACATACTCTTTACTTTATTTTTAAATATAATAACGTATCACTCATTTTCACATTCGTTTCCTTAATTACAAACGTATTGTAAAGAATCTATTGAAAACTGTTCAGTATATTTTGAACGCTAACAACATTACTAAAACAACGAGGAATATTTTAAAAAACACAACCACGTCATCTCCAAATTTACAGAGAAGATTCTTTTAAAGGATAATGCCAGAGATATAATCTTACCTTTTTAACATTTGCATGTCTCTTAACAGTCTTCTGAAATTGAGGTTGATTTTATTAATGGAATGAAACAACAAAACTCAACAACATACGTGCGCAAAAAAATTGCGACACAATGTTTCTGAAACTTCTTTCAGCGAAATCCTCAAAATTGTTAATAAAGTAAAAAATAAATATTTTGCTAGTTTAGGTGAATTTCCGGATTGTTTTTTTAATGTTCCCTGACTTTTTACACCTGCTACCATTTTCTATTCTCCTTGAAGCATAGGAACATTTGAAAATATTTCAAAACAGCATAATTTAGGCCACTTTTCAAAAAGGTCGACATATATTAAATTCAAAATTATAGATTAATTTCCCTTTTGTCAGATTTCTCAAATATATTATGCACACGAACTGAAACGTTTTTCAGAGAAACTAAGCGTTTTTACTACTAACGTTTAGAATCTCAACAATGACATCAATACTAATATACATATATGCTGTGTTAATAGGAGT